CAGCCATTAAAAAGCTTTGAAGCTTTGAATTCAAATTTTGGTTTTCAAAAATCATTATTTGTTTTGATTGGGTGTTGTTGAAAATAATTGGGAATATGTTTTGGAGTTTATATCTCAATTTTGAGGGGTTTTGGTGAAGATTAGACTTGGTTTTGACTGAAATTCAGATTGAAACTCGAAGAAGAAGATTCAAATTTGGGTCTTCTTCTTCTTCGAGTTTCAATCTGAATTTCAGTCAAAACCAAGTCTAATCTTCACTAAAACCCCTCAAAATTGAGATATAAACTCCAAAACATATTCCCAATTATTTTCAACAACACCCAATCAAAACAAATAATGATTTTTGAAAACCAAAATTTGAATTCAAAGCTTCAAAGCTTTTTAATGGCTGTCAATGGTGGAATTGCTCCTCTCTTGTCTCTTTGAAGGTTTGTTCTTCTTCATTGAGAAAATTTGAAGCTGAAGGTAAATGTGTGTATGAACTTTGAAGATTTGACTTCAATTTTGATGAACTTTGTTGTTCTTCATTGATGAACTTCAACTGGAGTAAAATGGGGAACCAATTTTGTTGAAGGGTTTCTTCAATTTTCTGTGAATTTAGAGGGAGAATTTGGTTTCAGAAGATGGAAAATGGTAAAAAGAACGTGTGTATGGGTATAACGTGGGTGGGACTGAGGAGTTAGGAGAGAGAAACATGCAGATTCCTTTAATTAAGGAGTAAATGTATAATTAATTATACCCTTAATTAATTATGGTATAGAATTAGTAATTTGGTATACTAAGTGTAATTAAGTCAAACCTTAAACATTGGGGGTAATAAGGTTTCCTATATGACATAGGAATGTAAAAATCTCTTTTTTTATTGCTAAAGTTGTTTAAGGCCGAACCCATGAAGTAAAAATTCTGAGGGCCGTGTCTGCTAGGGAGACTGAATATTTTGCATAAGCAAAAAAAAAAAAAAAAAAAAAAAAAAAAGATATATGTAAGTATTAGATCCAAGAAATTACTCTTTACGAAAAGAATTAAAAACACCCCAAAAAGTACAAATACAATTAATTTCTCTCGATTGTCACAAGGATCTCATAATATTACCATATATATCCTTGAGCATATAGTTTATGAAAAGCCATATGAATTGGTCGAAGGTCAACTACGTTAGCACATTTTTATTATGATCTATAACCTTAACGTTACGTTATATGCATTGATAATCGGCTTAATGCATGCATATTTTGATATTTATTGCCTTGCATTTTGCTCGTGTTTCAAAGATTTTAGATGTATAATATGATGAATGATGCTAATTTGTGGTATTTCTATGTATAGGAATCATCCGGATGCAATTTGGGACGAAACAGTGCGAATTGGAGCGAAATTGGGAAGAAAAGGCGAAAGAAGCTAAAAAGTTTGGGCGCCAGGGCTAGCCCCTCACGCTGCCCAGAACGGTTGGGACGTGAAGTTGTCTTGTTTCGATTAGGACTCGATTATTTTAACCCCAAGACGCCCCCAACTGATGTAAAAGCCAACTTAAACCTATTTTGAAGAGGGGGACTTGACTTTGAGAGGAGAACAAAAGTGCCAAACACTCGGAAGCACGGATTTGATCAATCCTTCCATCCCTTTTCTAGTACTCATTGATTTTATGTTTGAAAACCTTATTTTTGACGATTGTATGAACATGAGTGGCTAAGAACCCTATTGTTCTAGGGTCATGGGTGATACATGAATGTTGATGTTTGAAGTTTAATTTGACGAAGTTGATTTTATCATATTGGGTTGTTTATTTAATTATGTTCTTAATTATTTTGTTGAGTAGCTAATAGTGAAATACTATCTACGAATCTAGAGTTGAACTCGAAAATTGGAAATTCTAGATTGCATATATAATTAAATAGAGCAAGTTCTTGATCCTGGACATCGGGGAACAGATTCGCAATTAGGATAGACATATACCTAATTGCCTTGCTTGGTTGAAATACAGGAATTGTAAATGCATTCTTGTTAATCTTAATTCCTTAGACATATAGGCATTAAGTTAACTTGAATAGGCGAGTAAGGACTTGACAGATTCATATGAGTAATATCAACCCTGTCAATCAACAATCCAAATAAATCAATTAGTCATTTTAAGCCAAGAACACAACATGATTGTTATCAAACCTGTGACCCTGGAATATCCTCTCCTACTGATTATATTCGAAATTGCTTAATTGTTTCGGTTGATTTCTAGTTAATTCATTGCTTGATAGTTTTAGGTAGTAAATTAGTCACTTCTATATTTTGTGAGGAATCTCTTGAATCAATAAGTTAATTGAGTTTGAATCAGTCAAAAGTTAATCATAAGTCTTCGTGGGAACGATACTCTACTCACTACTCTATTACTTGACGACCACGTACTTACGTGAGTGTGTTTGGTCGCAACAAGTTTTTGGCGCCATTGCCGGGACTTAAAAATTAGCTACTTGCCTGATTTAAGCTATTATTAGTTATTTGTTCAAATTTTAATTTTCAGTTTGCCTTGTTTGTGTCAACGCAGACTCTTCTCTTGAATGCGGAGGAGTAGAAGTGCAAACAATCACTTTCCTCTGGATCCTGAAATTGAACGAACACTTCACAGAGTGAGGAGGGAAGTTGAAGCTAGAACTAGAATAGAAGGAGAGTTGGACACCGTAGTTCAACCACAGCCAATAGAGATGGCAGGTAATGAAGAACGTGCGGTGATAGAAGCCGCAAGGCCCAATCTTGCTAATATGACTCAGGCTATTGTGAAGCCTGATATCACAGGGCATTTTGAACTAAAATAGTACATGGTACAACTGATTCAGTTCTAAGGGCAATATGTGGGTCTATCTCATGAAGACTCACAGAGGCACATTCAGAATTTCTTGGAAATTACGGATACTTATAATTATCCGAACGTTTCCAAGGACTATGTCAGGCTGACACTATTTCCCTTTTCACTGCTGGGGAAGCTAAGGAATGGTTGCAGAAGGAGCCCGTGAACTCAATCCACACTTGGGATGATCTAGCAAGGAAATTCTTAATCAAGTTTTTCCCCACTAAGAAGATAAAGTCAGTGAAGAGTCAGATTCTTGGGTTCCAACAACGGGATGGAGAGACACTTTGTCAAGCTTGGGAAAGATACAAGAAGCTACCCAGAGACTGCCCATATCATTATTAGACTGATGAGGCATTGGGTCACACTTTTGTTGATGGGCTAGACGAGGTATCAAAGATGATCTTGATTCAGCTTGTGAGGGTAGTTGCATGGCGAGGCCGTATAGTGAAATCCAACTCTTGCTAAATAACTTCACTGCTAATGACCATAATTTGCAAGGAGATGGAGACTCACGAAGAGCAGTTAAACAGAAAGCAGCCGGGTTGATTGAACTTGATGACTTCTCAGCCATGAGAGCCGATATAGCAAAATTGGCAAATAAGAAGAATAGAATGACAATGCAACAAACACGATAGATGCAACATGTACAATAGATGTCTATTTGCTGCGAACTATGTGGTGACAGTCATATGAGTGATATGTGCCCCACGAATCCTGAATCTATATACTATTTGGGGCAACAGAGCAAAGGTCCAATGAATCAGCATGCACAATATGGGAACACTTACAATCCAAATTGGAAGAATCATCCCAACTTTTCATGGGGTGGAATAAGCCAAATTACAATCATTATAGGCCCCAAGGAAATTTTAATCAACCTCAGAAGCCACCCCAACAAATGGAAGAGAGTATGAATGATTCGTTGAAGAAGTTGTTGCTTGACAATCAACAACTCAGGACCGATTTCAGAAATCTTGAGAGGCAAATGGGGTAGTTAGCAGCAATCAAATACAAGACCTACAAGCGCTCTCCCCAGTGATAAAGAGAAGAACACTCAAGTTAATGCAGTTACAATTAGAAACGGGAGGGAACTAGAGGAAATGCCAAAGAAGAGAAAATACAAGCCTACACCTGAGGGGGAGTTGATTCCTAAAGCAACACATGAGTCAAAGAAATATGAAGCAAGTTCAGAACCAGTGGAGGCTGCAAGGCCACCACCACCTTTCCCCCCAGAGATTTTAGAAAAAGAATGATGATCGCATGTTCAGCAAATTTCTCTCTATGTTGAGCCAGGTTTAATTGAATATTCCATTGGTGGATGTACTTCGTGAAATTCCAAAGTATGCTAAGCATGTAAGGATATAGTGGCTCACAAGAGGAGATTGACTGAATTCAAGAGAGTTGCACTTATGGAGGAGTGCACTTCAAGGGTCCAAAACAAGCTTCCTCAAAAGCTCAAGGATCCTGGCAGCTTCACCATCCCTGTGCTAATTGGTAATATTGGTGTGGGTCGTGCACTTTGTGATTTGGGGGCAAGCATAAATATGAAGCCCTTGTCTTTGTTCAAGCAATTGGGTCTGGGAGCTCCAAAACCAACTACTGTGATGTTGCAGCTGACTGATAGGTCCATAGCACACCCTGAGGGAGTGATTGAAGATGTGTTGCTGCAAATTGGGAAATTTATCTTCCCTGTGGACTTCATTATCATAGATTGTGAGGCTGATGAACTGGTCCCAATCATATTGGGACGACCTCTCTTGGCTACTAGTGATGCAATTGTTAAAGTGAGAGAAGGAAAAATGATTTTGAGGGTGGAGGACAAGGAAGCAGTCTTTAATGTCTACAAAGCAATCCAACTTCCCCGCTACTATGAGGATCTCTTGATGATATCTGTTGTAGAAGTGGATGAGCAACTTCTTGACATGAGTGTATATCTAGACGATTCTCTAGAGAAAGCACTCATGTTGTTCGATAGCTTGGAGATTGATGATGAGGTTAAGGAGATGATGCATATCCTAGATGCATCCTGTTCTTACATGCAGGGAATACATCCCTTTGAGCCCTTAAGTAGGCCAAGTGGGCCTCCTCCAAAGCCATCAATTGAAGAAGCTCCAAAATTGAAGCTTAAACCCCTGCCCCCTCACCTTCAATATGCTTATTTCGGAGTTTCTGACACTTTACTTGTTATTGTTTCTTCTGACTTGTCTATATTGCAGGAAGAAAAGCTGTTGATAGTGCTACGTGAGCATAAACGAGCAATTGGGTGGACGATGTCTGACATTAGAGGCATTAGTCCAGCTTTCTGCATGCATTAAATCCTCATGGAGGACGGACACAAGCCAAGTGTAGAGCAACAACGCCGCCTAAATCCAATCATGATAGAGTTGGTAAGAAAAGAAGTGATTAAGTGGCTTGATGCGTGTATTGTATTTCCAATCCCTGCTAGCAAATGGGTGATCCCCGTCCAATGTGTACCTAAGAAAGGGGGGATGACTGTAGTGGTTAATGAAAATAATGACTTGATTCTTACAAGAACTATCACAAGGTGGAGAATTTGCATAGATTATAGAAAACTGAACAATGCCACCCACAAGGACCACTATCCCCTCCCCTTTATTGACCAAATGCTTGATCGATTAGATGGTCAGGAATACTACTGTTTCCTGGATGGTTATTCGGGGTATAATCAGATTTCCATAGCCCAAGAGGACCAAGAGAAAATCACATTTACGTGTCCCTATGGCACGTATGCGTTCAAGAGAATGCCCGTTGGTCTCTGTAATGCACCTGTGACTTTTAAAAGGTGTATGATGGCTATTTTTACTGACATGGTTGAAAGATTTGTAGAAGTGTTCATGGATGATTTCTCTGTGTTTGGATGTTCTTTTGATAATTGTTTAATGATCCTTGATAAAGTGCTTGCTAGGTGTGAAGAGACGAACCTGGTGCTAAACTGGGAAAAGTGCCATTTCATGGTACGTGAAGGTATAGTCCTGGGGCACAAGGTGTCCAAAAGTGGTTTGCAGGTGGAAAAAGCAAAGGTGGAGGCGATTGAAAAATTACCCCCACCGACATCCGTCAAAGGCATTCGCAGTTTCTTGGGCCATGCAGGTTTTTATTATCGTTTCATTAAAGATTTTTCGAAAACTTCTTCTCCTTTGTGCAGGCTTCTTGAGAAAGATGTCCCCTTCAAGTTTGATAATGTATGTTTGAAAGCATTTGAGGAGCTGAACGGAAGGTTGGTGACTGCACCAATTATCATTGCTCCGGATTGGGAGCAGCCTTTTGAGTTGATGTGCGATGCGAGTGACATAGCAATTAGAGCTGTTTTGGGGCAAAAGAGGGATAAAAATTTTCACTCCATTTATTATTTGAGCAAAACTCTGAATCCAGCCCAGATGAACTACACAGTTACTGAAAAAGAGTTGCTTGCAGTCGTGTGGGCGTTTGACAAGTTCAGATCCTATCTAGTGGGGACCAAGGTCATCGTCTACATAGATTATTCAGCTATCAGATACTTCTTTGAAAAGAAAGACGCCAAGCCGAGACGGATTCGTTGGGTCCTCCTCTTGCAAGAATTTGACTTAGAGATCCGAGACCGAAAAGGGACAGAGAATCAAGTGGCTGATCACTTGTCCAGATTAGAAAGTCGGAGCCATGTAGCTGAAGGAGGGTCAATAAAAGAAACATTTCCTGATGAGCAGTTATTAGCAACCACCTCAAGTGAAGCCCCGTGGTATGCAAATTATGTAAATTTTATTGTAAGAGAGGTGACAACACCAGAATTGACGCCCAATAATAGAAGAAGGATCTTACATGATGTGACGCTCTACATGTGGGATGGGCCATTCCTATATAGGCAGTGCGCAGATCAGTTGGTAAGAAGGTGTGTCCCTGAGGAAGAGATGAATGCAATATTGCATGACTGTCATGATTCGCCATACGAAAGTCATCATGGTGGGGATAGAACCTCCCAAAAAGTGCTACAATCAGGTTTTTATTTAAGGATGCACATGCCTTTGTTAAAAAGTGTTGTTGATACCCAATTTTTCCCTGTCTATTTTTTTGTATATGCAAAATATCTTCAAAATAGCATATATATGCATGTATAAGTATGTCCAAGCATTTTATTATTTTTCCCATAATTTTTAAGGTTTTAAACTGATTTATTTCCCTTTTTCATCCATAAAAGCCCAATGATTATTTTCAAAATTATTATTTTTTTGGTAATTTAGTTATTGGAATTTTATATTTATACTAAAATGTAGCTAACATAATTTTTGTATATTTTTACAAATCTATTTAGTATTTTTTAAGCTAGATTGCATATACTTGCAACATTAGCCTATTTAAAGATTTAATTGCATTTTATACTTATAAAATTGATTCCAGTATTTTAATTTAATATTTATATGTATAAATCATTTTTAGTACTTTCAATTTATTTTCAGAATTTAATTTGCTATTTTTATAAAATAAATGGGGAAAAATGGCTATTTAAAATCTAGCCAGATTTCATTTCGATTGTAGCCTAAATTCTACCCCAACTGAACCCAATTGAACTCCAGCCCAATTCCTAAAATTACCCGACCCATAGCCCGTTTAAACGACCCATCCGGCCCCCTTTAAATCCCAGCCGTTGATCTAACAGATCAACGGCTCAGGTTCCCCTTTCCTTAATTAATTCCAAATGACCCCAAACCCTTCTCATTTTCCACCTACCAGCCGCCTCTGAACCCTCCATTCTCTCAAACTCTCTCAAAGCTTCTCAAACCCTAGCCACCACTTCCGCCCTGAAAGCCACCGGAATCCATGGCTTCCAAGGTTATGGAAGCCCTACACCGGCCTCCTATGACTCCCACGCGCCTGATTTTTGAAGATTCAAGGCCTGGCCACGACGAGGTTTGGTCCAGGCTTCATTCGATTCGAGTCCCACGACCATCTCCAGATTTACTCCGGCGTACCATGGTTGCTCGAGCCTGATTTGGACTTCTCCGACTTAGATCGGTGACTTTTCAAAGCCTTTCTCACTACAAGGGTTCTTTGAAACCCTAACCCTTCGAGGTTTTTCTGATTCCTTTAGATCCGTTGTGTATCTATGCGTTCCCTAAGCTTTTAAACGATTTTCCTGACTTTTCTTTCAAAAATTACTTTCAAAACCATTTCTTTTCCGATCTAGGGTTTTCTGAAAATATGTAAATGTTCTCTGACTTTCTTTTTCCTTTTTTTGTGTGTATTTGCCTTTACTGTGTTCTTGTATTTTCTTCTACTGTGCTCTTGTATTTTCTTCTACTGTGTTCATGTATACTTTTTCTACTGTATTGTGTTCTCGTATGCCTTTTTGTATATTTCTTCTAATGTATTTTCCTATACTATGTTCTTGTGTGTTTCTTCTACTGTATTTTCCGTAATTATGTTCTTAAAGTGTTTCTTATTAAGTTCCATCCGCTGAGCTCTGTTTAAGTTTCTTCTAAAAACTACTTAGCATGCTTCCTCTACTGTTCTTATCAGTTTTTCCATTATGTTTCGTATCAGCTTCTTCTACTCAATTTTATTTGAATCCTTCTACTATGTTCTGCGTGTTACTTGCTATCGTTGTTTTCTCATGAGTTTCTGCTGCTGAAAGAATCATGCAAGAGGTTTCAGTTCTTCTCTGAGACCTCTGAGCCTGTCTCGATCACTTGCCTTCTTTTCTTTGTACTCGATTAATGGTGGAAACCCTAGAATTTGGGGGTTCTCCCAAGTTTGGATATGTGATTTGTTTGAACTAGGGCTTTATTTCAAAGCCCCTAACTCTTTCAGACCCACTTCGAGTCTCTGAACTGAGTTTGGACATCCTTGTTTTCATATGATTCTGACTTTTGCTAAACTCTACTACACTGGATTTTTCTACTGATCTTACAATGACACGACAATCTTCTTTCATGCTTAACATGTTCGTATACTCCTTATAAATTATGAACTTCCCTCTAAAGTGGCTTTCAAATTTGTGATTAGTTCATGCTTCCCTCTGAATATGGTCTGATTGATTTCTTTCCATTGTTTGCTGATTTTCTTTGTGACTCGACCTAAGTTATAACCCTTCTCCGCTTTTGCGACTTGGTTCATTCATGGGTCAGTAATTACAAGATCCCTAATTCTTTGATTTACTGGTTGTCAATTGATTTTCTTACCTTATTTGTACAACCATGTACTTCAAAACCCTCTCCTTAAATAACCTTTTATGTATTCGCCCCTAATTACATGCTGGGCACAAACTGCTTATTTAATTTTTTCCTCAAACACTTTTTACCCGTTTGAATCTGAATTCCATAATTAAAGGAAGTCTTGTGGGATTGATCCTTGATTGATACTCAGTTCCATAACTATTTTCTTACCTTATTTCTACCCGATTTTCAACAATATAAATGCACGACTCTTTCACAAACTCATGACACAATTCAGAATCCTTCTGAACTCATACTCACATACAATAATATTCTCTTCTTGTCTGCACTGTGGCCTGTTCACAAGACCTGCTGCTTTTTCTCTGTTTGTTTCTCTGAAACTGGTATGTCCGGATTTAATTTTTAGCACTACAACAATGTGTATTTACTGCTTGTGTGTCCATTTTTGCTTGTTGTTTCTTTATATCTCAGCACTTAAATTGGCATGCTGATTTCCTTCTGTTTGTTTGTTTTGAACCCCCATTCCCCTATCACCCCTATGTGTTTTGAGTTATGACTTAAAGCATGGCAATGTAAGTTGTTGTCGATGAATTAAGTTTGATCCATGGGGGTCTTAACCTCTAAACAATATGTTCTAACAGGCCTAAGGGTGTACCAGCATCCCCCATTGCTGGGTATGCCGATCAGCCTGCCTTTTTGCCTCTTGCAACTCCCCCATTCCCCTACCCTTATGTGTACTGATTTAAGTTGTTTCCCTTTTCCCTTTCCCCTTTCAGAATTATGCTTCTGCACTTGCACTCTCTTAGTCCTTAAGTTCTGCCCCCACCTCTTGTGAGCCTTGCCTTGGGACCTTGAGTTCCCTTTGAACTTGGACACTTGAGGGCTGGCCCTTCCACACTGCACTATGTCTTAATCTGGTGATACACTTGGGTGTAAGCACTGCCCGGAGTTCATAGGAGACTCTTAGGGAACTTTGACACACCCCAAATGGGAGAATGGCTTTGAAATATGATCTCTTGGAGTTGGTTTAATTCATACTTCAGACAGGAAGTCTGAATCAGGCTCTCCTTGGTTGTACTTTTTTATTTCTGATGTATTTTCTTTACTTTACTTCTTTTTCTGGGCTGTAATAACTTTGTAATAAAACT